AGATTTAATGCAATTTCAGTTTAATTTCTACCCTACACACTGCTCAATCACATGCACACTACTTACTGCAGGGCTATTGAGGCCACACCCCCTACATGCACCATGCTTTCCTCCATAACATGAACTGATCATTTCTTAAATCCTGCACACACAATATCAAAATGTCCATCTTGGTGAGATACAAAAAATTGTTTAAAACTTCCTTGTGCTGTGTGTAATATACTGTGCAACTAAATTAGGCTATACCATTGTAAAAACAAATACACTGACTGAACAAACCATAGACTGGAACAAGCATTTAGGTGAGATAATAATAAAACAGAACAGAAGTCTAAAAATGACCCTCCCCCCCACACAATCCCCTCTAGTCACCTAAAAGCAACTGCATAGCAACCTCTTAGCAACCACCCTAAATACCCTAGCAACCGCATAGCAGCACCCTTGCAACCAATCCGGGCACCTAAGCAACTGTAGAGCAACAGCCTAGCACCCGCCCCAAGTACCCTAGCAACCACATAGCAATACCTTAGCAACTACCCCAGGTACCCTAGAAACACCCTAGCAACCACCTTGAGTACCCTAGAAGCCACCCCACGTACCCTAGCGATCTGTTTTTCTATGTCTGTTCTTCTGATAGATTGTATTGCCTTCAAAACATTCAAACTTTAAAACTATTTTAAGTATTTCAAACTACTTCAAACTGAAAACCTTCAAACTTCCAGCTTTTAAAACTTTTACAAACTTTCTGGCTAGGCTTTTTCAAGTCAACTTAAAGTTTGTCTACGAACTTTACTATCTAGTTACACTGTTGAAGATGTAATTAGTAGCTAGTAATTAATTACTTTTTGAGAGTAATTTACCCAACAATGCTAAACAGTATTGTGTAGTGTAATACAATGTAATAAGTTACAAATTGTATGGTATGCTTTTTATTTGAAAAAGTGTAAAAATTACACACATTTATTTATTTAGACGCTTTTATCCAAAGCGACTTACAAATGAGGACAACAGAAGCAATCCATTACTATTTTAATGTTTTAAACATTGCATATCTTTTGCTCATCAAGCCTTCATTTATTTGATCAAAAATACAGAACAAAACCGTAATATTGCACGGTATTACTGGTATTACAATTTAAAATAATGGTTTTCTGTTTTAATATACTTTAAAAAATAATGTTTTTCTGTGATGCAAAGCTGATTTATTTACTTATTTATAATCAATTTTGGAAACGGTTGTGCTGTTTAATTTATTTTTTTTTACCTGTGATTCTTTTTTCAGGATTCTTTGATTAATAAAGAGTAAAAAAAAAAAAGAAGAAAAACAAAACCGTTTATTTAAAATAGAAATCCTTTTTTAACAATACACTACCTTTCAAAAGTTTGGGGTCAGAATCTTTTCTCTTTTTTTGACGATTGTAAAAAAGCATCACAGATTCCCCCCAAAAAATCAAAAAATGTCATTTTTAAAATTTGTATTAGTATTAGATTTAGATTTAGAGTATTGTATTAGAGCCTATGATCAAACAAAATGTTTATATTTATGTTTGTATATAATAGTTTTATAAATTTCCCCAAATTTCCAATTAATTCCCATAAATTCCTGGTAAGTTTCAAACTTGGAATATTTCCAAAATTCCCCAGACGATCATCAGGTAGCTGACAGCGGCTACAACAGCATGGCTTCAGAAACTTCCTTCAGACCACATCAGTCGCAACCCCGTCCTCAAGCAACGCCCATTTCCAGAGAAGACGACTGGGATATGGATGAAATTCCAGATGATGACTTCAGAAGCATTCCAGACAATTTTGACGATTTTCCACAAAATGTGGTGGACGATGTTCCCGAGGACTTTGATGACATCCCATTAGAAGAGCTGGAGAGTGTGATGTGCCCGATCGATTCAGAATGCAAACCTGATGCAATCCAGCCCAAAATTAAAGAACCAAGACTTTTAAGTTTTCGCTCTAGAACTACTCTTAACAGCAGAAACTTGAATGAAGTACATGACGCATCTGTTGCTAGTTCCTCTACAAACACAGTTGAGGAGCCTGAAGCAAACTTACCCAACCAACCCAAAACTGAAGAACCAAGCCAGACTTTTCGCTCTAAAACTCTGCTTGGCACCACCAACCAAAGCCGAATCTTCAATGAAGTTCCTCGTACATCTATTACAAGTTCCTCTACCAACACAGCTGGATCTTCTGGTTTCGAACGAGAGGCACCTACTCCACCGTACCTCTGCATGCTACAGGCTGGCCACTGGCCGCCCGCCAAAGTTCAGACTTTACGACTACAAGCTTTCATTGTTACACTCAAAGGAAATTTGCGCAGTAGTAGTGGCGTGTGGCAACTCGGGGCCACCATATCAGATGGAACCGGGTACTTGGATGTGGATCTGTCCGACGCCATGCTCTCCAAACTCATCGGCTACACGGCACCAGAGGCTCGAGTGCTACGGAAAGACCTGGCGAGACGCGGTGAGGTGGACAGCGGGATTCAGCATTGTCAAAGAGAGCTGGTGGATATGTGCTGTATGATGAGCGTGCAGGTGGATCAGACGGGCAGAGGAGTTGTGTTGTGTGCCAGTCCGCTCTCTGACAAGGAATGCTCCGAGATACAGAAAAGAGTGAAAGAGAGGAGGAACTAAGCCGTACTTATTCTCTGGACTCTCTTTTAACCTAATCTGACAGTGTTAGTGCTGATCCAGTCAGTGGTTTCTTTGATATTTTAGTAGAGTAACTCGTTTTGGTTCTCTCAGTCTGAAGAAAACGGCTTATAATGCACTTCACTCATATCCGTTACATTTCAGAATCCACTGTGTTCTATTTTTGTAAATAGTTTTGTTTTGTTTGATTTTTGTTGTTTTTATATTTGCATGTCTTTGAATGCGATTTAATAAATGTAAAAAGGTCATTTAAACCTCACTAGATTTTTGTTTTTCCTTAGAACAATTTTAATTTTTACAGTTTCTGAAGAAACTGTGGGTGATTGCTATGTGGTTTCTATGTGTTCTGAGAAGTAAAAAAAAATAAAAAATTCTCAGATAAATAATACTTCTCCCCAGTACGCCGTATGATTGGAGTTAGTACTTGTAAGATGGTGCAGTTGGAAATCTTTACGACTTGTTTAATTAGTTCATTACAGAAAAGTTTTTGAATTTTTAAATGTAAATGTTAAACATCTTGTGTAATTTGAATCTATTGTATGTTTTTTATTTGTTGTTATATACAAACATACAGTGGTGGCCAAAATTATTAGAGCACTAGTATTTTCACCAGCTAAAAATGGTTTTAAGTCAGTTATCTCTATCTTTTGCTGTAGTGTGTCAGTAGGAAATATCAGTTTACATTTCCAAACATTCATTTTGCCATTAATTGTAATAATCCAGTGCGATTTTAGTCTGACAACAGCCAGTGCTCCACATAAATCAACATTTGGTGTGAGCATCCTTTGTGTTTAAAGCAGTTTTTGCCCTCGGTGCACTTAGTTTCCCAGGTAGCTTTGCAGGTAGGTTTCTTGAAGCATCTTGGAGACGTTGCCACAGTTCTTCTGGATTTAGTCTGTGGTCAGACTCTCACTGATTATAACAATTTATGGCAAATAGTTTGGAAATGTAAGCTGATATTTCCTATTGACAGAGACTATATCTATATATATATATATATACATACATAAATATACATGCATACACATATATATATACACACACACATTTATTTTTTAATTTTTTTGGTGGGTAAGCTTTGCATTTACTTCTTTTATTGAATAGATCATTATCTCTGTCTGACCTGCTAGAAAAGAAAAAAAAAATGAATGAATGAATGAATGTGAAAAACAGCCTGAGCTGTTGACTGGTCTTTCGCTGGTCTTCCATCAGCAGGTTTAGGAGGCTGGTCTTGGTTTTGATCAGCAGGGTGATCATAAAAACAGTGCCTGTTGAAATTATTTATTTTCTTCAAACTCATGTTTCCAGGGACATGCTAGCATCAGGCGAATGACCAAGATTCCATGTTGACTGAACTGAGGGTATAATGTATGCATTAAAATTATTTAAAAACAATCAGGGTATAAAATGTGTCAGTATATATAACTTAAATGTAGGCCTATACCTAATTTAGCAAATTACACGTTTTTGTTACTGTGCCTGGTAGTGTCTATTATTTTAATCGTTAATTGTGTAAAAGAGGACTTGTATATGTTGGTTGTTGACTTTTCTTTTTCTTTTTTTTTAGCGGATAAAAACATTTAATAAGAAAAAATATTCTAGTCAGGCTTTGTGCAGTATGTTACTGTACTTTACACCATAATTCATGTCTATAGCACAAATGCCATATGTGGCGAGATTTAATACTAAGGGCTGTGGGTTTGCAAATGATCATCCTAAATATAAGAAACAATAACAGTTTTGGTTACTTGGGCAAGCAGCATCACATACACAGAGGGCATTAAAACAAATAACAACGGGCACCAATAGATGGCAGAAGTGGAATGCAATTGCTGTGTAAAATGCAAACCATCAATTGTAAGCGAGAACATGCCAAACAGACCCTTTAATGAACTAGCTAAATTCCCATATAGGCTATTCTTCCTGCTGTTTACATAAAGGTATAAAAGGAAAAAAAATGCACAGAAAAAGAGTCTGAACACTTCAAGACCAGAATGCAATATGTTGACTAGGCAGGCTTTCATTATGAAGTCTTGTCTTTTGTAATCTCATACTCCATCAGTTAAATTCAAGCATATAGTAGCCTAGTCTTGGCCTTAATCCTATAGATTCTACAGCTTTATCTTTATGGTCCTGGTCTAAAGATACATGAGTGTCATTAACTGAGTGTGCAGTAAATGGCCCCTTCACGAGACTCCCACCTCACCTCTTATCTGACAAGTCTTCGGGTTTGGGTTTATGGGGCTGTCACGTGATGAACGAACGACTCAAACCCGAAGACTCGAGAGATGAACTAATCAATTCTCTTTCCGGCTCAGACTGCATTGGTTAAAGCTTATGGGGCTGTCACGTGATGAACGAACGACTCAAACCCGAAGACTCGAACCAGGTGAACTACTTGACTAATTCCAGTACAGAACCTATAGGATGTTGCGCATGCGCGACTGAACGAATCACTCCCCGAGACGACTCGTTCTTCCCGAGTCACATTAAAGATTCGTTCAAAACGAACGAATCGTTCAAGAACGACCCAACACTAAAAAGGAGTCGCTCACTCACTCTAGGTGGCGACGACAAGTGAGTGGCCTTTTGTGTTATGAGTGAGATACACAGGGCAACTTTTTGAGAAATGTTCAATTCAATTCAAGTTTATTTGTATAGCGCTTTTCACGATACAAATCGTTGCAAAGCAACTTTACAGAAAATTAAGTTTCTACAATATTTAGTAATAGCTTATCAGTGGTGACTTTCTACATTTGGCAGAAATGTACGGAAAAATCAATTAAAGACGTAATCAAACAGACGATGAACTCTATTAACATTTACATTTACGTTTAGTCATTTAGCAGATGCTTTTATCCCAAGCGACTTACAAATGAGGACCATGGAAGCAATCAAAACCAACAAAAGAGCAATGATATGCAAGTGCCATGACAAGTCTCAGTTAGCTTAATGCAGTAGGCCTACATGTAGCAAGTTTTTTTTTTAAATCATATAATAAATAAAAAGAAAACAGAATAGAAAAAGAATAGAGCAAGCTAGTGTTAGAGGCCTTTTTTGCAACTTAATAGGTAGCCAGTGCAGAGACTGTAAAATTGCTCAAAAGGTTGCCCCATGTATCATCAGCCTAAAAGTCATCATTCGATTCATTAGAAATGACTGACCATGTGAACAAAATACATCTTAAGATCCTTTATTAAAATTTGCTGGTCTACAAATCAACTAGCCCTGATTTTCTGCTCACCTACAGTTAAAGTGATAGTTCACCCAAAAATGAAAAATGTCATAATTTAGCTTACTCACCATGTTGTTCCAAACCCAAATGATTTTCTTCTGCTGAACAAATATATATATGTGGGGGTCATATTATGGAAGTCACTGTCTACCAGCAACTATTTGGAACAACATGAGGATGAGTAATTGATGACAACATTTTCATTTTTTGGGTGAACTTTAACTATCCCCTTTAAAATAAATAAATAAATAGCCTACCCTTTTTTTCAATAAGAATCCATCCTGCTTTAAAGAGCTGGATCATTTAAAATGGCAGACAACAGACTCGCTCTTATAATACACATAATGTTATCGTGCGTTGGTGTGGGCTGATAGTTATCGTTTTAGTTATCTTTTAGTTATCGTTCTTGGTGTGAAGAGGCCTAAATGGCTGACAAAGCCCAAAGTCGTAGGCAATAAGGTGCTTGTTCACGTGACTGATGATCGCTATGTTTATCAAAAACGCGGTTTGAAGCGCCGATGCCTCCGCTGATGCCCGATATCTTCCCGATCTCACCACAATTCATGCATAAATTATTTACGAGGTGCCTAATTCGTCACTCGACCTCACTCGTACGATTTGGTACGATTTTTGCTAAATTTTATGTATTTGACGAGTTCCCTAATTCGTATGAATTCGTACGAATGACCAACGCCTAACACCGCCCCTAAACCTGTCACTGGGGTCTAGACAAATCGTAATAAATCGAATGAGTGAGGTCCTACAAGCCACCTCGTAAAATACGTGCAAATTGGTCTTGAGATAGCCTATCTAGACCTGCTGACATATCAGTTTTGTAGGCCTACGTGACTTTTATGAAGCTATATATAAAATAATAAAAAAGCTATACATAAAATAATAATGTTATTCTTATTATTATTAGTAGTAGTAGTAGTAATAGGCCTAATAAAACAGCTAGTAGCCTAACTAAAATCCATTATGAATTCCAGTAACGCTCTTGCGCCATTTTAATTGTTTATAGTCGTTTTTCCACATAATTCTTCCACCCCTATTATGTTTTTCCCTTGTTGTGAATCAGACTGAACGCCATAGACTCGCACTCGAATTTGCTCGTGCTTCAGAAGACGCGCTGCAAAGAGAAAGAGAACTATGAGTCAGTGCACAGAAGACACGAGAACAATACGTTCATTTAAAGATTCATTCAAAACGATTCATCCACGAACGAAACACAACTAGTGCTGTGCGTAAACTACACACGTCTAGCGCTTCGCTCATTAATGACTGACATTACCATAATCTGAGAAACACGCCTGTAAGAAGATGAAACGACAACCCTGATTTACACTGATAACGAAACCACAACATGCGAATTATCCATAATTCATGCGCCTTAAGGTCTTAAGTCTTGATGGGTGTAAGGATGCTGCTACACGTTGTCAATAATCAATAAAGCGTTTGAATGATCTCCTCTCCTCGTCTCCTCCCCTCAGACGCGCTGCGCATCATCCAACGATCGCGCTCCCTCACTCCAGCACTCGCGCTTCCCAAGAGCGCGTCTTATGTGAGCTCAACGGACGCGTCATTTAACGCCAGCATCTCGGTCATTCATCTTAGGCAGAGCGAGGCAAACGCAGACGAGAGGAGGAGAGGAATACAGACACTTCACGTAGACAGAAACGCGAGACAAGGTCGACGCGGGCGCGTGTGTTTTGCGCTCTCTCCGCGCGTTGGATTTCAGGGGTCTTAAATCTGGAGGCGAGGACCCAGGGATGAGCCTGCTGTCGGGGGGCTTCGGCATGGCGGGCTGGGGGTCCGGTTGGGTTCTGATGCTGCTCGCGCTCTGGAGGCCCGGTGCCGCTTGTCCGGAGCTGTGCACGTGCACCGGCGCGCGGATCTCGTGCGTGGATGCGGAGCGCAGCATTAT